CGGGGTCCTCCCGGCGGGTCCCCGAAGCCTCCGCGGCTCCTCCGGACGCTGGGACGAGCTGGTGTGTTGCAGCCTCGTTGATGCATCCTGTGTTTTAATCCGGTTCTCCTCCTCCACCTCCTCTCTCTCCTCCTACTCCCCCCTCTCCCCAGGGACGTTCTTACTTTGTCCGCGTTTCGCCTCTTCGCGTCTCTAGGGCGTCTTTTGGGTGGTCATTTGGCGGAGCCCAGCTCCGAAAGCCTCCTCCTGGGGACTTCCGGAGGCCTCCCTCGCAGGGTGCAGGGACCTCTGGAGGCGCGCCGCCTGGGCGTGGCCAGGGCCGTTGGTGTCCGAGGATCGCACCGCATTGCCGATATACATCGAGGATTTTGGTCATTCCTGGCTGGCCTCAACGGGCCTCCCGAATAGGCTTAAGTCGGGCCTGTCCCTCTACAGGAGGAATATCCAAAAGTAGTCAGAAAATAGTCAGGGGACCATTTTTGACTATGTTTTAGCATTTGGGGAGTATGTTTCTGGAGTATTTGCCATTTTTCGCCCAAAATCCCCCTGTAAGGGGATAGGCCCGACCTAAGAATAGGCGGGCTCGCTGTCTGTGCGCAAGCCGACGCCTGACCCTTCGGGGCCCGATGTTCCCCCATCCTACGTTCAGGGGCGGCCTAGCCGGCCTCTGGCAAGCCATCCCCTTCCGTGGCGTCCCCCTCGCCTCGCCCCAAGACGTATGCATGCGGCCGGAGGGAAGCTCGAAGGGCGGGGATGACGTCACGGAAGGGAATGGTCTGCCAGGGGTCGGTTAGGCCGCGCGCGACGCGTCGCCGATGTGTCGGCGATGAGGCGCCATCCTCCGACCCCATCTGCTCGCACCTTTCCTGTTTTGGAGCGGCTGCAGGTCGTCGGCCAGGGCCACGACGAAGCCGCCCGCGGGCGCGGGCGCGGCGTCGAAGTACCCCGCCGAGTGGCTGCAGCGGAACACCGTGGAGGAGCTTCGGCGCTCCGAGGGCCTTCCAAGAAATGATGGGATCGTGTGGGTGTTCGTTCTTCTTTGGGCCCCCCGGAGGCTTCTGGTCGCCCCCGTCGGATGCCCTTCGAGGTTCCGGCTCGAACGCACTCCAGGGCAGGTCGGGGGGCACGCGTTTCACTGGTCTTCGGAGGTTCTTGGCCGTTTCTGGAGGCTCGGGGGAACTGGCCAGGACGGAGTCGGAGAGGGGTAGACCGACCTTGACCGGATGTCCGATACACCCAGCGGAGGAGTTCGGTTGTCGAAGGTTTTCGCGGAGAGGCTGGAGGATCGGGATCGAGGGAAGACACACATTGGGACATGTTTGGGCCTCTCAGAAGGCCCTCATTGCCATGGTTGGGCTCCCCTAGGGTCTTTTCTTCTTGGGGCACGCCTCTGGGCAACTTTTGGGGGCTGGCAGACCTGAGGGCTACGCCCCGAGAGGAGTTCAGGTGCTGCTGGGAGCCTTCGAAGTGGTCTTCGGGTGCTGCTGGAGGGTCCCCGCATGCCGTGAACAGTCCTTGCAATCAGGGCCTCTCTCTTGCGTTCCTACGGTACTGTCCGAGGTTGATAGACCTCCTAGCCTGACACGCCGATTAGCGAATTGTCCGTTTTCGGTTCGCGAGGGGGCGTCGCGGCCGTCGTTTTTGCGTGTCCAGGTCCGTCGGTTTCGGTCCTACGCCGTTTTCACCACTACTACCACAGGGAGCTTTGCCCACCGCCGAGATTGGACGGGTTCGTCGAGGTTTCGCCGCGTCGCCGCCCGTTGCCGCCTCGAGTGCGTTTTTGTTAACTCCCAGGCGATGACGGGCGTGACCCAGGGGGGGGGAGGGGGGGCTGGTCACGTCACGGTTCGTGCCGGCGCCAGCTGTCAAGGGAGGGAGAGCCACCCGGGTTTGACAATTTGGAGTTTATTACGGCTTCGCGTCTCGGGGTGCTCGTTGTGGGGACGGAGTTTCTGCCCTCTAATCTGAGAGTGCTTGAGAATTGCTGATTCCCAGACGGCGCTGGCGTGAATTGTGACGTGACCAGGAAGGTGGAGTGGGGGAGGCTGGGCCGGGCCGGTCACGGACGGTCTCGCGAATACCACAAAACGAGCTCCGCGTTGCCGGGGGGTCCGTCGAGGTTTGGCCGTGTCGCCGCACGCTGCCGCTTCGTTGCCGCTCACAGGAGGGGGGGGCCACGTGTTTTGTTATTAATCAGTCCGCGCCCACACGCGCGTGCTGTTCTCAAGACGGGTTGGCAGTTCCCTTTGACACAGCCCGAGTTAGTCGCTCGCGACTGTGGTGCCACATCGCCAACGGGAAAGAAGATTGTGTCTATGTGTGTCCGTGTGTTGTTTCGTGGTTCGAGTTTGTCCACCACCTGTACGGATGTTTGTGGGTTGCGTCTCCCGCCGCATTGCACGCGTTTGCGATATTCATTGAGCCGCAGGAGGAAGCAACTTGTTTTTGTCCAGCCTGCTGTTTCGGTCAGTCCAGCTCGATCGGCAATTCTTGTTCGATCCCTGTGCTTTTCCTCGATTCCACCTGTTGGGGCCCGTTATCGGGCCCAGTTGCTATCAGATATTGTTCTTGGACGAGAAGCTACCCCTGGGGGTGTCGGGACTTCTTGGGGCCGCGCCATGAAAAAGTACATCGTCGCATGTTCGGGCTGTCGGCGCGCACATGTAGGCTGCGGTCTTCCACGGAGCCTTCTCAGAGATCTCTATGAGGTTGGCCGAGTCCCTTCTGAGAAGCCCCCCTTGCCTTCTAGTGAGCCCATCTTGATCGCCCAAGCATCCCCCTTTTCTGCGCGCCGCCAGAGAGCGGGTGGTAAGTTGAACAGCAGGGAAACGAGAGAGGAAGCAAAACGGATGAGGAGGTGGAGGAGATCAGAATGGATGAGGAGGAGGAGGAGGAGGAGAAGGAGGAGGAGAAGGAGGAGAAGGAGGAGATCAGAAGAAGAAGGTCTGATGATGAGGAGGAGGAAGAGGAGATCAGAAAGGAGGGGGAGGAGGAGGAGGAGGCGGAGGAGACCAGAAGGGATGATGATGATGATGATGATGAGGAGGAGGAGGAGGAGGAGACAAGAAGAGGAGAAGGTCTCAATACTGCTACGTACTCCTTCCCTCGCCGCCGCGGCTTGATCGTCCTGGAAATTCACCCCTGGAAGATGCCCGGGGAGTTATGCGGCATCGGTACACTTTGGCCCCCCCAAGAGGAGGGAGGACCACGAGGAGGAGGAGGAGGAGGAGGAGGTGGAGGAGGGGGAGGAGGAGGAGGGGGAGGAGGATGAGGAGGAGGGGGAGGAGGGGGAGGAGGAGGAGGAGGAGGAGGAGGGGGAGGAGGAGGAGGAGGAAGAGGAAGAGGAGGAGGAGCTGAAGCAGCAGCCGGCACGTTTCGGATGCGTGTCGGTTGCTGCCCTGGAGGTAGTTGCAGGTTGCTCTCGGTGATTTGGTATGATCTCTTCGGGTGTTCTGCGGCTTTCGTTTGTCTTCGGGTGGGTGATGGGGGAGGAGGCAGCATGCGGATGAGACGGGAGGGAGGAGGTGGCAGGGTCGACGATCGAGGAACAACGGCGGAGCATCGAAGATGAAGGGGGGCTGGAGGTCTTGGGTTCAACGGGTCGCCTTACTGATGTATGCCTCATGTCGGCGGCGAGCGAGGGGGGGAAGTGAGAAGGAGAGGGCCTGCTCAGAGGGCGGCGGGACTTTTCAGCAGCCCTCGCGCCCTCTGGCAAGCTCACTGTCTCTTCGGGGAAGGCTCAGAAGACTTCCCAGGAGACCGGGGGACTTCCGAGCCATCTGGGAAGGCCTTCTCCGTCTTGCTTTCCCCTCCCCCGCTCGCCGCCAATCATGGGTGGAGGAGGGGGGAGGGCGAGGCATTACATCGTTCCTGTCCCTCTACAGGAGAAATATTCAAAATAGTAAAAAAATAATCTGGAGGCGATTGTTTTTATTACCATTTGGGGGTATTGTTTTTGACTAGTTTTCACTTTCGTCCAAAATCCCCCTGTAGGCGGACGTGCCCGACCTGAACGAGGCAGGATCGAGGGGAGGGAGCGAAGAGGGAGGGGGGGGCGAGGGTGGAGAGAGGGGGAGAGCGGGAGATCGGGCCCGAGAGTCGGTGCAGGACGGCGGGGAGGGCCCGGGGATGCGCGGCGAGAGCGGAGAGCGGGCACGGGTCAGGGCGAGGCGAGGGGGGGGAGAGAGCAGGCGGCGGCGGCGGCGCGGGGGTAGCAGCGGGGGGGGGAACAGGAGGAGGCGGGCGAGAGACGAGCGGAGGAGGAGAGGGAGGCGAGGAGGGCGAGCCGGAGGGATCCGGTGGAGGAGGAGGAGAGCGGCAGCAGGAGGAGGAGGAGGAGGAGGAGGAGGAGGAGGAGGAGGAGGAGGAGGAGGAAGAGGGGGTGGGGGACGGGCGGCCAAGGAAGCACGGGGTGGAGGGAGCAATGGGGGAAGGCGGAGGGTTGGGCAGGGCGGGCGACGCAGAGAAGCAGAGATGGAGGGAGAAGAAAAGAAGGATGGGAAGATCGGATGAGGAGGAACAGGGGGAGGGGGAGATCAGGAGGAGGAAGAGGAGGAGGAGGAGGAGGAAACACTGTCCCTTCTCCCCTCGTCCGCCTCGTCATCCTCTCTGCTTCATCACCCCTCCCCCTGCTACCTCTTCCATTCTCGCTCCCTCCTCCCTCCTCTCCCATCCGCTCCCTCGTCCGCCTCGTCATCCTTTATCCTACGCCTTCTCATTACCCTCATCCTCCTCCACCCTCTCCGTCTCATTGCCATCCTCACTCCTCTTCAGTTTCGTCTCCCGTCCCATCATCCCTCCTCCGCCCCCACCTCCTTGCCTCCCTGCCCTTCCTCCACCTCCACCACTCCCTCCGGTCCCAACCTCCCCCTCCTACTCATCCAACTCCTGACCGTCTTCCCTTCCTCTCCCCATCCCCATCGTCTGCCCCTCCTGCGCCGCAGGACCTCGACGCGTCCGAGCGCAACGCCACCAGGTGGGCCGCCGCCGCCAAGGAGGCCATGCGCTGGTCGTGGGCACAGTACAGCAACAGGTCGCTCGGCGCCGACAACTGGGTGCCCGAGCGCGGCGACCGGGAGAGGGAAGACTGTTGACAAGTCATTTGTGCCACCAGCCCTCCAAAGATTCGCCATTCGGTTGCCCCGATTAGCCTCACGCTGGTGCGGTCTGCCTCTGCCTCGCCGCCCGCCAAAACAATGTGTCACCAGCCCTCCGTTGGGTTCTCCTTCTGAGTGCAGCGCGGCGGTCTCCTCCTGCCTCCCTCCTCGCTGCTCATGTCTGCCTCCTGCCTCCCACTGCTCGTCTCCTTCCTGTGGCTTGTGCCTCCTACCTCGCTGTTGGCTTGGAAGCTGCTGGCAGAACGTCACCCTGCTGGCTTGGAAACTAAGATAGCTCCGGAACTCTCGTCGAGCGGATTTCGGGCGACACTTGTGGGCGTTTCGATCCACTCCAGGGCGGAGGCCGCGTCAGGCGTGGCGTTCTCGGCCCATGGAGACTGCGCGCGGGGTGGTCCCTGAGCGCAGTGGGGAGTGCACCGTGCCGAGCGGAGCTCGGCGTCCACCACCACCACGCAGGCCTCCTCGCCGTCGCCCTCCTCCTCCTGCTCCTCCTCCTCCTCCTTCCTCCTCCTCCTCCTCTCCTCTCTCCTCTCCTTCTCCCTTCCCTCCTCCTCCTCTCCTTCTCCTCCTCCTTCTCCTCCTCCCCCCTCCTCCTCCCTCTCCTCCCCTCCTCCTCCCCTTCCCCTCCTCCTTCTCCTCTCCTCCTCCTCCTCCTCCTCCTCCTCCTCCTCCTCCTCTCTCCTCCTCCTCCTCTCTCTCTCCTCGTCCTCCTCCTCCTCCTCTCCTCCTCCTCCTCCTCCTCCTCTCCTGTGCCACTCTCCTCCTCCTCCACCGGATCCCTCCGGCTCGCCCTCCTCTCCCTCTCCTCCTCCGCTCGCCTCTCGCCGCTTCCTCCTGCTCTTCCCCTCCTCGCTGCTAACCCCCCTGCTCTCCCCTCTGCCCCCCTCGCTGCTCTCTCTCCTTCCTCCCTCCTCCTTCCTCTCCTCCTCTCCCACCTCCTCCTCCTCCTCCTCCCTCCCTCCTCCTCCTCCTCCTCCTCCCCCTCCTCTCACCCTCCTCCCCTCCTCCTCCGCTCTCCTCCTCCTCCTCATCCTCCTCCTCCTCCCCTCCTCCTCCTCCTCCTCCTCCTCCTCCTCCTCCTCCTCCTCCTCCTCCTCCTCCTCCACATGTGTGGCGTTCTCAGCCCACACGGGGAGTGCGCATGGGGTTGTCCCCGAGCGCGGTCTCTGTCCAGGTCAGTGCTGCAGGGCGCATCGCGCGCGCGGGGCCCAACGCCAGAACAGGGCGCGCAGGGACTAGCCCTCAGGGCCCGTTTCGATTCATCCGATTCGATCATATTAGACTTCTATGGATTCCGATTCCGATTTGATTCGATTTCGGATTCCGATATGGTCTCCGCTTTCTTTTTGGACGCATCTTAGACTGCCGATTCCGCCGATTCGACTTTTCCCGACTCGGCTGCCGATTTCCGCCGATGCGACTTCTTTTGACCGCCGATCCGACTTATCGATTCGTTTCTGGGCTCCCCTGGTCCTGGAGCGTGGAGCCCCAGAGGGGGTCGCGGGGACGTCGCCCCGGCAATCCGATTCGCCCGCCCTCCTCTATACAATGTGCGCCCTGACGCGTCGGGAAGCATGTTCCTGTCTGAAAATTCTCCCTGGATGAATGTTTACACTTGTTGTTGGACATGCGGATGCGGGCGTCTCTCCTCGCGGGTGGGTTTTGTTGCTGCCCCAGGGCCCTCTTGTCAGGAACGCTTGCTCATTGTGTGGCGCCGCCGGTGCTGACCCACCACGCTTCAGCCGACACACTGGACACGCGCTGGTGCGCAAGCATCAGACGTTCAAGTTTCTCCAAATCTCCCGTCCCGAGAGGCAGAGGGACACGTTAATTCCGAAGCGGGGATTCATCCAGAACCACCGCCTCGGGTATTCATATTTGACGGCGTCGGCAGGCGGCAGAGATCGTTATTTGTGGGTCCCTGGTGCCCCAATTATATATAGACACGCGGATGTATATATATGTGTGTTTATGTATATCTATCTATGTATATATACATATGTATATATGTGTCGGTACGTGTACATAAACATGATTACGTATTTATTGCCACAACCTTGAGTTTTGGCGACGGAGCCGCTTTAAAATGCAATGGATGCGAGATGCATTGGTGATCTTTGATTGGGCGACGGTGCTATCGATGGACCAATACATGCCCTCGGTGCGCGATCGAGATTTGGCAAGCGGCTGGCACAATAATCGTTCGACCGCAAAAGAACAACTACATGTTTGCATTGTTTCATGTGGCGGTGGCGTCGTAAACAACTACCCCACATGACAAATATAGCGAAATATCAACATGTGGGAGTAACCACCGCCCGCTGGGGTGCCAGGAAAGCGTTTTCCTGGGCGGTGGGTACGTATGAATTGTCGCCTCGCACAATCCGCTTGCGGGGCGCACCGTGTCGTTGGGGCCGCCGCCCGCGACACGCTGTGCAGCAGGTCGCCCTTCGACGACGAAGCCACGGGTCAGTATCGTTTGACCTACCCCCATCCTCACCGGGCAACGGCACTGCAGCCCCACAAGTTCACCACCCCAATTGGTGGTAGCCCCGTCGAAACCCGAAGGGAACAGCCTATGTCCACATCCAGAAGGGTAAATCGGCAAGTGGGGCCCAGGCCATGCCGGTGGGGATAGAGATCGGTTAAACGATGGTCAATGGGACAGATTGCCGCCCCGCTTTGGCGTACTACGAGCGCTGAAAGCCCGGGTGTTTGGGCCCTACGCGGCGCGGTTGCCACACCGTGCCATGAGATCCGGGTGCTGCCTTTGTTCGCAACTGTCGATTTTGTTTGTTTTCGGGCCCTGGGACCGTCACAGGTCCATCCAGCTCGAAACATGCTGCACAGAGATCGGGTTGGGGGTTCCAGCCGTGATTTTTCGCGATGCTGATTGTTGATGATGGTTTCGCAACGTCTCGGGTCCTTCGCCGAGGGCGTCTCGGCCGACTGTGGCTGCTTTCGAGGTCCTGGTCGGCCGTGCGGTGAAGTCGCTGGGGGTGCCGAGGTCACAGCACGGTCTGCCACAACACCGTTGCGGGACCCCCAAATTCCGGTCGGTTCCAAAGGATGGTTTTTTGGGGAGGGGGTTTTCCAGAGAGCCCCCCAGGGGCTTCAGAAGTTTTTTTTTGCCAAAGCAATTCTCGCAGCCATGAACTTCCGCGGGGCTTCGGAAGTTCGTCAAAACACAGGGGGCGAAACCTTTGGGGGACCCCTCCTGGAAAACCCCCTCCCCCAAAACCCCCTTTGGAACCCTCGGGAAATTCTGCGCCGCAGACATCCGATGTCTGGGTTAGTTTCGGCACGGGGGCCCAGAAATCCCGGCCCTTTCCTTATGTAGGATGGCTTTCCCTTCCGATTGTGGAAGACGATCAATGGAGAGGAAGCGTGTTGCCAACTCATTTCCAGATGTTATATACATGTTTTAAACATGTAAGCACATGATGTAAACATGTTTAGAATATTTTCTTGCATGTTAAAGACAGCTTAAGTTCAATGATAGGACTGTTAGAGTGTCCATTGTCGTGGCATCCACAACCTTCCGAGCTCTTTTTTGTCGGCGTTGGTGAGTACCGCATGACCGACCCCTATCCCCATCCCCGTCCACACCTCGAGCCCCCACCGTCTCGCCACCTCAGTGGGGGTCATGCCCCTCGAAGCCCGAAGAGGCCAGCCTACATCCCCACCAGGGGGGTAACTCGGCCAGCGGGGCCCAGGCCACGCTGGGAGTTTTTTTTTTAGACTCTGGCAAGTTTACTTGCATGGACCGGGGGGGGGGGGGGGCTGAGCCTGAAGCAACCCGCAAACGACTTGCACGTTCGGGGGGGCGCGGAAATCACGCAAGTCGAAGGGCACTTGCACACCAGTAGTCGCTTGAAGAGGGGCGAGGGGGGGGGGGGGCGAACGCCATGCAAGTAAACTTGCCTGAATCCAACGCCATGCAAGTAAACTTGCCTGAATCAAAAAAAAAACAAGCTCCCAGCCCACGCTGGTGGGGATGGGGATCGGCGAAGGGATGCTCAGTGGGAGCCCGGCGAGGAGGGCCCCCGCGGAGGCCGAGCAAGAGTTGCCAGGAGTGTCCGTCGCTGTTCGTCCACGGCGCGAGCGCGTCGGCTCCTCCTCTTTTTCTCCTCCTCCTCCTCTTTTCCCCCTCTTTTCCTCCTCTTTTCCTCCTCCTTTCCTCCTCCTTTCCTCGTCTTTTCCTCCTCTTTTCCTCCTCTTTTCCTCCTCTTTTCCTCCTCCTCCTCCTCCTCCTCCTCCTCCTCCTCCTCCTCCTCTTTACCTCCTCCTCCTCCTCCTCCTCCTCCTCTTTTCCTCCTCTTTTCCTCCTCCTCCTCCTCCTCCTCCTCTTTTCCTCCTCTTTTCCTCCTCCTCCTCCTCCTCCTGCTCCTCCTCTCCTCCTCCTCCTCCTCCTCCTCCTCCTCCTCTCCTCCTCCTCCTCCCCTGTCCTCATCCTTCTCCTCCTCCTCCTCCTCCTCCTCCTCCTCCTCCTCCTCCTCCTCCTCCTCCTCCTCCTCCTCCTCCTCATCCCTCCTCCCAGGCGAGGGCAGCGACTGGTGCAACCTGGGCCTGACCCTGGTGGACTCGCTGGACACGCTGTACCTCATGGGCCTGCGCGACGAGTTCGACCGGGCGGAGGCCTGGTTTAAGAGTCGGGCGTGTCCTCTGCAGGGGGAATAGTTTTAGACAAAGTAGGAAAAATCGTCAGGGGACGGTGTTCGGTCGTTTTGACGGATTTGGGACATTGTTTGATTATCTTTCTTTTTTCATTCAAAATCTGGCTGTAGGAGGATATGCCCGACCTGAGGCCTGGGTCCGCGACAGCCTCAGCATGGCGGGCAGCAGGCCTGGGGGGGGGGTGTTGTATTGCAGCGGCGGTTGGCTCAGACCTCCCACGCTCTTATTTGCTCAGCCGGAGGTGTTTCTCACCCATCTTTCGGGCGACGGGTACAGTGGAAAGCCATTCCAAGAGACACCCTGCTTGCCCCCCAGACCGCCTCGAGTCATGGAAAATCACGACGGGAGTTTTTCCCTATATGTTCTGCCTCTGGAGGCCCTTACTGGCCCTCGGGACCGTCAATCACGTTGACGAGGAACCCCACATATTTATATGTTGGCTGGAGTGATGATACCGTTGGTGACGCCAGTCAAGAGGAGAGTCGCGAGGCCGAAACGGATTGCGACCGCACCCCCAGCGCAGCCCTTGTGGCTTCGAGGACGTGCCACGCCTGCCACGCTTTGCGAGGCCGAGACGGATAGCGACCGCGCCCCCAGCGCACCCTCAGTGACGTCGAGAAAGTGCCACGCCTGCCACGCATTGCGAGGCCGAAACGGATAGCGACCGCACCTCCAGCGCAGCCCTGTGGCGTCGAGGAAGTGCCGCGCTTGCCACGCTTTGCGAGGCCGAAACGGATAGAGACCGCACCCCCAGCGCACCCCTTGTGGCGTTGAGGAAGGTGCCACGCCTGTTTGGTTTTGCGACAGTGTCGTGGAGAGCGGCCGCGCGGAGAGACCACCCCCTGCGCACCCCTTATGGTGTCGTGAAGCTGCCACGCCTGCTAGGTTTTGCGCCAGCGTCGTGGATAGCGGCCTCGCTGAGAGACCACCCCCTGCGCACCCCCATTGTGGTGTCTAGGAAGTGCCACGCCTGCTAGGCTTTGCGCCAGTGTCGTGGAGAGCGGCCGCGGCGAGAGACCACCTCCTGCGCACCCCCATATGGTGTCCAGAAAGTGCCACGCCTGCTAGGCTTTGCGACAGTGTCGTGGATGGCGGCCGTGCTGAGAGACCACTGCCTGCGCACCCCCCCATGGTGACCAGAAAAGGCCACGCATGTTAGGCTTTGCTACTGTCGTGGATGGCGGCCGCGCTGAGAGACCACCCCCTGCGCACCCCTTATGGTGTCCAGAGAGTGCCACGCCTGCTAGGCTTTGCGCCAGTGTCGTGGATAGCGGCCGCGCTGAGAGACCACCCCCTGCGCACCCCTGTTTATGGTATCTAGAAAGAGCCACGCCTGGTAGGCTTTGCGCCAGTGTCGTGGAGAGCGGCCGCGGCGAGAGACCACCTCCTGCGCACCCCCTTATGGTGTCCAGAAAGTGCCACGCCTGCTAGGCTTTGCGACAGTGTCGTGGATGGCGGCCGTGCTGAGAGACCACTGCTTGCGCACCCCCCCATGGTGACCAGAAAAGGCCACGCATGTTAGGCTTTGCTACTGTCGTGGATGGCGGCCGCGCTGAGAGACCACCCCCTACGCACCCCCTATGGTGTCCAGAGAGTGCCACGCCTGCTAGGCTTTGCGCCAGTGTCGTGGATAGCGGCCGCGCTGAGAGACTACCCCCTGCGCACCCCTGTTTATGGTATCTAGAAAGAGCCACGCGTGGTAGGCTTTGCGACAGTGTCGTGGATAGCGGCCGCGCTGAGAGACCACCCCCTGCGCACCCCTGTTTATGGTATCCAGAAAGAGCCACGCCTGGTAGGCTTTGCGACAGTGTCGTGGGTATCGGCCGCGCTGAGAACCCCCCTTGCGCACCCCCTATGGTGTCCACAAAGTGCCACGCCTGCCACGCTGTCCGACCCTGTCACGCATAGAGGCCGCGCTGAGGGACCCCACGACACATGCGGGGAAGCTGTGCTGTGCTGTGCTGTTCTGTGCTGTTCCGTGCTGAGCTGTGCTGTGCTGAGGTGCTGTGCAGTGCTGTGCTGAGCTGTGCTGAGCTGTGTTGTGCTGTGTTGTGCTGTGTTGTGTTGTGCTGTCCTGAGCTGAGCGGAGCTGTGCTGAGCAGAGCTGTGTTGTGCTGTGCTGTGTACGTGTTGTGTGTCAATGTGCTGTGTGCTGAGCTGTGCGGTGCTGCGCTGCGCTGTGCTGCGCTGTGCTGTGTGAGAAGGAGCAGGAGGAGGAGGGGTGAGGAGGAGGAGGAAGCGCGGTTGCGATGCGGGAAGGAAGAGAACCATAACCCTACCCCCCACTAAGCATGTGGGGAAACACATACAAAACCCCACGAAGCATATGGGGAGGATGTGGTGCCGAGGATGTGGCATGTGGACGCGTGTCTGATGCACGTACCGTGCATGGGTTGCGTGTGGGCGAGGGGAAGAAGGAAGCGGAGGAGGGGTGGAAGGAGGAGGGAGGGGAGGTGTGTGTGTGTGTGTGTTGTGTGAGTGTGTTGTGTGTGTGTGTGTTGTGTGTTTGTGTGTGTTGTGTGAGTGTGTTGTGTGTGTGTTGTGTGTGCTGTGTGTGCTGAGTGTGTTGTTTGTTGTGTGTGTATGTGTGTATGTGTGTGTGTGTGCGGGAAACGCGGATGCGACGCGGCAGGGATGAAAACCAGAACCCCACGAAACATGTGGGAACTAAACACGACCCGGGATGAAACACCAGTCCCGGCGAACAGGTAAAAAAAAAACAATGTTGGGGTTGTGGGTCCCAGGGTGCCCCAGGTTTCTTGGGGTTCGATGGTTCTACGATGGAGAGCGTGACGTCCGCACACCACAAATCAGTGGACACTTCCCGGGGCCTCAGGGTTCGGTTTCTTGTGGGATGTTTGCTGTGGTCCAGCTCCTACTGCAATGGGGGTGCGATGCAGTCAAGATGCTGAAAGAAGGACCGCTCTGGGTTCAGGAGGGGCTGGGGCTTTCAGGCCGTTCCGTCGGGTTGTGTATGGTGGAAAACGTCTGTGGACACGGCCCGCTGTGGCAAGAAAGGCCCTTTTCGTCCCTTACTGTTAACGCAGGCCGAAAGGTCTTCCTCTTGAGCCCCAAATGTGGAAGCGACGGCATCCCCGTCCCTTCTCCCCTCCTCCCCCCTCCTCATGCCTCCTCCCTCCGCCTTCCCCCCTCTGTCCTGGGAAGACCACCCCTCCCCTGTAGAATCATAGCTTTGGTCAGCAGATCCACAGTTCCGTGGATGGCATGATACTTCACGTGCGGTGCCCCGCGGATCCCATTTCCCCTGGGTCCAGGATGTTAATCGTTACCGTTACTATATATATATATAGATATGTATATATATATATGTATATATAAATGTATGTATACACATTTACTCCTGGAAACTAATTGGTTCCGTCGTTTTTCAATATAAAAAATGATCAAATTTGATATATCCTCTTGTGCCTGATTAAAGAAGGGGCCCCAAAGGGGCCCCCTGGGGCCCTTAATGGGCGCGAGAGGTGCATGTTTCCCCCCCCCTCCTTACGTGATTCTCACAGTAATGGGGGTGCGATAAAATGGGTGTGTGTGTGTGTGCGTGTGTGTGTGTGTGTGTGTGTGTGTTGCCCGCGCCGTAGGCGGGCCGGGACGCATCGGACGCTGGCCTCACCCCTCAGGCAGGCCTTCTGGGAGCGGAGGCTCCACACCACTTTGGTACCTGCGGCCACCGCGGGCGCCCTCTCCGGTGGTCGGCATCCTCCAGGCAGTGGCCCGGACCCCCTCGGTGGCTTACACATTGGCCCACGCCCCAAGAGGCAAGTGAGTGGTTTCGGCACGTTCCGCCTGGCAGTCTGACTCCACCTGCGGGTCCGACCTTTTCTGCCCGCCCCCCTTCTGCTGGCACACGCTCCGCGGCTTTTGTGATCGCGTGGAGGCGCCTGGGTATCAGCTGGTGCCTTCACGCTTGCCTCTTTGCTGGCGCATGTCCAGCGTCTTTAATTATCTGGCACGTTCCGCCTGGCAGTCTGACTCCACCTGCGGGTCCGTCCTATTTTGCCCGCCCCCCTTCTGCTGGCACACGCTCAGCGGCTTTGAGGTTCGCGTGGAGGCGCCTGGGCTTCAGCCGGTGCCTTCTCGGTTGCCTCTTTTGCTGGCACATGTCCAGCGTCGCTAATTATCTGCAGTCTCGTGCGCTGTGCCCCAGCCTCGTTCACACCGCCCTCTGGACTTTTCCTTGCGGGCCGCGAATCAAAAGTGTGTGTGTGTGTGTGTGTGCGTGGCAGGGGGGGGGGCACCTTTTCTACCCCAAAGGGTCCCGGAAGGAGCCCGCTGGGCCCGCACAGGGCGCGAAAGGTGCACGTTAGGGCGCGAAAGATGCACGTTCCCCCCCCCCCCCCCTCTCCCTCATTGATCGCCCCCCATGAATTGTTGACGCCCGAATCTTGGAGTAGATGTCGTTTGCTTCGCAGGTGGCGGTTTTGCCTTGCGTGGTTCGGGCCCCGGGACCATCACAGATCGATCTGTCTCGACAAGTGAAGCAGAAAGATGGGGTCGAGGGCTCCAGGCGTGATTGGTCGCTGTGCTTCTTATCCGCCGCTATCTTGTAGTGTTGTTTCCTCGCTGTGACGAGACAGCGCCCCGCGTCTCCTCTTCTCACCGCCCTCCCCCCTCCTTCCTTCCCTCCTCCCTTCTCTGCCCGTGCTCTCCGTCCTTCCCTCCTCCCTTCCCGGACCCTGCCCTCCGCATGCAAACTTCGGCACGCCATCACACGGTTCGTGACCCTACCTGGAGCTCCACCGAAGCCCGCGGTAAGGGGGTCTTGCATCCGATTCCCATCCCTGTTGGCTTACCTTTCACATGCGATCCGTGGCCCCACAGGGGAGCTCCACCGAAGCCTCCAGGAAGGGGGGTCGAATTCGTTTCTGATCCATTTTGGCACACCCCTCACACGTGGGGTTCCCCCCAGAGGGAACCCCACCGAAGCCCCCAGAAGGAGGGTTGCATGCATTGCTTACCCATTGTGGCACACCTCTCACGCGTCGCGTGGCCCCACAGGGAGCTCCACCGAAGCTTCCAAGAAGGCGGGCGTCGCATGCGTGTCGCCTCCATCCTGGCACACCCGTCAGACGTTTCGCGGCCTCGCGGGCGCCGCGGGCGCTGTGGCCGCAGCCGGCTCCGCGGCCGCCGCGGCTGCTGCGGGTGCC